TTTTACTCCCTCCATGCCGAATTTGATGCTCTCCTTTGGGTGATGGATTGTATGATTAAGTTGGGGCAAACCTCCATCAACTTTGCTTGAAATTGCTTTGATTTGGTAGCTATGGTAGAAAATTCGTGAGATTGGCCAATTTTTGCAGCATAACTGGCATCTTTCAAGTCTCTCCAAACTATGTTTCCGTCTTTGCACTTACATTTTCTCCGAGTCTTTCTAATATTCGGGCTACCATTTTGCCAAAAAAGCTCGAACTCGTGACTGCCTATTTTCGCATATGAGCATTTCGGTCTCCAACTAGTTCCTCCTAGTGGAGAGTATTTTTCCGAGTGTGTCGTAGTGTTGTTTATGTTTGGCGACAAAAAAAAAAAAAAAAAAAGTAAAGAGTGGTGATGTATATGATCATCAAGTAGAAGAAGTGAAGAACCTCATCGAGGCCACATGGAAAAATAACCACAGTGAGATCGATCATAATCATGATGATGCATGACCAACCTCTTTTTATTTTATTCTTTATTTCTATTTTTACCTCAATAAGTTTCCAAAGTATTCAGAAATGCTACTATGAATGATGATGACATTGTTGGACTAATGGGGAAAAGCTGAGAACACTGTTTTGAAAATATATTTTTCTATAGATAAAAAAAAATGAATAACCAATATTATATTAATTAATATATTGACCTCTTACTAGAATAGTAAAATAAAAAAGCAATACCTTAATAAAATAGTGTACAATTTCTCTGCTAATTTGTACCTTATCTGATTATCTCAAATTCGATTTTCTAATGCAACTATTGAGTATACAAATCATGACATGTTCAACCAAATCGCCCAAAAAATTATGATTCTTAACAAAGCACACATACACATTATACACTACACACACATGCATGTGATATGCCTATGAATCTATAAATTTATATATGCGTGTGTAGATATATAAAATATCATATGGGTTTAGTTTGGTCACGGTGGATAGAGCTATAGGGTTATGGGCATGGTTTGTTTTGGTGTGACGCATGTTTTTTTTTCTTTTATTTTATTTCTTATGATTGTTTTTAACTTTGTTTTCAAATTCATCAGCAAATATGACAAAAGTGTGATTTATAAAACTCAAAAAGATAACGTTTTAAAATCATAATCCCATATGTTTTTGCATGTGTTTCGCATACACCATTGAGAATTTTTTCAATATTGGGTCAAACATTACTTTGTTCTTGGTCTTCTTTGTCCTGTTTTGTCCAGTGTTTAGTGTTTACTCAATTCTATTTTATCAATTAAACGTTACATTCATAATCCTAACCCACACTTGCATGCTCTAGAGTGAACATAACTTTGTTTGTCATGAATCCAAAATGATTTTGACATTTACCAATACTTGGTTTAGATTTTAGATCGATAATTAATCAAAATGTATCTTTTAAAACATGCAAATGATCTTATTAGATATTTTTAGTTTGCTAAAAATGAAAATATCATTAATAATTAAAATTGAGATTTCTACAAAAAGTAATTAATTCATACACAAGTGTAATTCTTTCAAATATGTTGGGGATGAATGAAGACTCACGTAGTATTAATTTATCATTGTTTCATTGGTTTATGTCACATCTTTGATACACATATAGTATTAGCAAACACGTAGGATGTGTTATTTTTTCTTCTTAACCGTATGATATATATATATTATTTTTTTTGAACAAATCTCGCATATATTTTATTTTGATATATCAATAGATAAGAAGGCCGTTGATGAATCATCTCGTTTTTACTTTAAGGTTCTCCGAACCTAAGACTCAGTAGTATCAGAGCTACGTCAAGAAAGAAACCATAATCTCCCAGCTAACAAATTTTTATGTGATATAACAAAATCAAAACTAAAAATATTTGATATGATAATACAATAAAAAGATTTTGAAATCTTAAAGTCAAAGTGGTAAAAATCCAACATCAATGCATGATTATAACATCTATACACCTCCATATCCAAGGGAGTATCACACACTGTACAAATTAAACACTTCCTCATATTTGGATTGGCAATATGAGTCAAAATACAGTCCAAAAGACCAAATTGTTATTTAATTTGACTATACAAACAACAAACTATTCAAAATATAGACATGATCTCGAACTTGCATGTATGAAAGTTTAAAAAAAACAACGATATTTTCGAAGCTTTCTATAATGATAACGATTTGACCATTTGGGCATTATATATGTAGGACTTAATCTATTTGGCAGAACAAAATATATTCTTGGTATAAGTTTGATAGGGTTCCTATGATGTTCAATGCGTGTGACTTTTTAATCATTGTAAAATTTATCAACAAAAACACTGTTTAGGTTATTAAGTTAATTTTTGCATAAAGCTATTAATTGAATTATATACCTTAGCCTATATGTTCATTATGTTTTTATAACTAGAATCTAGCATTTGTAACATGTTTGTGTTTAATTAGGTAGGGAGAGCTAACTATATTATACTACTATAAAGTCTATAATTAAGCAAGTTATTATGATTGTAAAAAGAAATGTGCACTATAATATATTCATATTTTGTTGTTGTTTGGTGGTTATTAAATTGTGAAAAACGACAAAATAGACATTTAAAATCTATGATTAAAGCAAACTTTGGGTGAAATTCAATATCAGTTTTTTATGGGTGCACTAGTTTCTTATTGCTTCTTGGAAAGTTCACACTTGACACAAGCACGATAAATCTTGCACGTTTGAGTAAAAAAAAAAAAAAACAATTCCTATATATATATTTTTTTAATTCAACAAAGAAAGCTCTAATCAAAAATTTAACCCTTGAGTTATTCTAATATATGTAAAATTTTATCATTATCAAATCAATAAAATTTGCAGAGTTTTTTTTTCTATTTGAATATGATTTTTAAGTTGATATCAAATTGGTTTTTGCGACATAATTAATCATAAATACTTTATGATTATATTATTGACTGATGATTATAAATACTTTCTCCCGACATCTTAATTTTTTTCTTTTTACGACTGGTCAGTAAGATGAAGTAATTGCGATGTTTAAAGCATTATTATCAGTAAATTAATATTGTGAAATTAAAAGAAGAAAAAAATTGTGGTAAAAAAAGTAAATGTGAGGGTTAAAAATATTAAAACAATGTCAGAGGTGGCCTAAAACGGTGTATAATCTGCAAATCTGCCACTATAGCTTTTGTGTCACTCACTTCCTCCTTTAGCTTTTTTTTTGCTTTTAAAGATTAATAACAAAAAAATTGCTGACAAAAAAAAAGATTAATAACAAAATATATAAAAGGTAAATATTGTGTTTATTACCAATCTATACTTTATTGTTATTATTGAAATTCGTAAGAACTTTATTTTTTTATTATTTAATGTCGCCAACTATATAGTAATTCTAGAAACATGCATAGTTTGGAATCAAAACTAATGTTTTAATTTATTGAGAAATATTGAAAAAGCAAAGAGATGAGAGAACCCAAAAATATATTGAAAAGTAATATTAATACAAACTTTACAGTGGCCTCTGTCTTTTTTTTTTTTTTTAATTATTATCTCTGATCTTAGTCCTATTTTTACTTTTATTGTCAAAAGCACCCCAAAGTGCACTTCTGTTCCCAAAATTTTGAACAAGTTATATATAAAAATCATCAAAAATTTATTTTAAGTTAAATAATTGAAAGTTGCAAAAGAATTGGCAAAACATAAAATTATTTATAAAATGTGTGCGAATAAAAATTCAGGCTTTGTCGTATTGTTGTCTTTGCGCAAACAACACTTCTAGCATTAGAACATGAGATTGGGTTGTAAGAAGATAAAAATTATAGATTATGATGTAAATAAATATGTATAATTAAGCTATGTTTATTTTCCTAATTTGATTATTTTTGTTTTTTGGTTCTTTCTAATTGGGTCATGTGTGGGAGAAGCACTATAGTGAAGAAGATTTGATGCATCATTTTCACTAAAGGTGTTCAAAAAGAATTTTATCAGTCACACACACATCTCTGCATAGAAAAATTATTGTTATAAAAAGAATAGAAACAAAGATATAAAGGTTGTATTATAATGCATGTTTATTTATTTTATTTTTCTTTCTTTTTTCATATTTTATTGGAGATGAAAAAAGGTGGGATTGTCTTGTTGTAGGGACAACTTTGATGTGTTCCAAAGAGACCTTTACTTTGCTTTTTTCTCAAATTGAAGTTATCCAAATCAAACCAACAAAACCTAAAACTACACAAATCACAATGCATAAAGATTTTCTTGTCGAGTTGAATCAAAACATTTCAAATCGAATTTAAATCAAAACCTAACTGAAATGAAACCAATTCATAGCCTGGCAAATAGTGAAATAGCTAAACACCAATTTCAAGTTAAAAAAAAAAAACAAATCATATGTTAATAAACAATATATTATTTTTTTCACTATACCTATTAATAATACACTATATTTGTTTTTCAAAAACAATTAGACAAAATTAGTAGAAACAAAAGTATGATATAGATTTACGTTGAAAAATATTTTGGAAAGCAGATTTAGATATTTAATATTATCATAAACAGCCTAAATAGTACATTAAATATTTTGAAGCTATGATGCTCCTATGAATTTGATAAAAAAAAATACTAATAACATAGAGTTAAAAATATATATTTATAACATGGGCCATATGTTATGATCTTTATCATTTGTTAAAAATCCTTTTTCACTATATCTATTAATAATACACTATATAGTTTTTCATAAACAAGTAGAAAAATTAATAGGAAAAATATATGATATATATTCGCAGTAAAAAAGAAATTTAATATTAGAATCGAGTAAAATACAAATTTGGACATTAATTGTTTTTGAAACAAATCAATGATGCTCCAATATATTTGATTTAAAAATAACATTTGCCATATGTTATGGCCCATACCAAATAATATAGCCCAATAAGGCTACTAACCCAATTGGGCCTGTAATGACTTAAACGTCCACCAAAAATTCGATCTTTCTCCTCAAATTTCAAATCGGAGAAACTTGGATATGACATCTCCAAGCACAAGCAAGAACCATCGATGCTTAAACCTAATCCCAAAATGCAACAATTCCTTACAAAACCTCAAACAAATCCATGCCCAAATCATCACAACGGGTCTCTCTCACCACACATATCCACTAAGTAAGCTTCTTCATTTATCCTCCACCGTCTGCTTATCCTACGCACTCTCTATCTTACGCCAAATCTCAAACCCTTCCGTCTTCCTCTACAACACTCTCATCTCCTCCATCGTCTCAAATCACGATTCCACTCAAACCCATCTCGCGTTTGCTCTGTACGATCAGGTTTCGAGCTCAAAATCAAACCTTGTTAGACCCAATGCGTTTACTTACCCTTCTCTGTTTAAAGCCTCTGGCTTTGACCCGATTTGGCATCGCCATGGGAGGGCTCTTCATGCCCATGTGTTGAAATTTCTCGAACCGGTGAGTCATGATCGGTTTGTGGAAGCTGCTTTGGTTGGGTTTTATGCTAATTGTGGGAAATTGAGAGAAGCTAGGTCTTTGTTTGAGCGAATTAGAGATCCTGATTTGGCTACTTGGAACACTCTTCTTGCTGCTTACGCTAATTCTGAGGAAATTGAGAGTGATGATGAGGTTTTGAGGTTGTTTGTGAGAATGCAAGTGAGACCTAACGAGGTTTCTCTTGTAGCTTTAATCAAATCTTGTGCGAGTTTGGGTGAGTTTTGGGGAGGTGTTTGGGCTCATGTTTATCTCTATAAGAACAATCTGACTCTGAACCAGTTTGTGGGAACTTCTCTTATTGATCTTTACTCCAAATGTGGATGTTTGAGTTTTGCACGCCAGGTGTTCGACGAAATGTCTCAGAGAGATGTATCGTGTTACAATGCTATGATTCGCGGTTTAGCAGTTCACGGGTTTGGCCAAGAAGCTATAGAATTTTACAATAGGTTGGTCTCTCAAGGATTAGTTCCGGACGACGCTACTTTCGTGGTGACGATATCTGCCTGTTCGCACTCGGGTTTAGTTGACGAAGGTCTTCAAATATTTCACTCGATGAAAGAGGTTTACGGGATCGAGCCTAAAGTTGAGCATTACGGATGTTTAGTTGATCTACTGGGACGATCGGGGAGGTTGGAAGAAGCGGAAGAATGCATCAAGAAGATGCCTATGAAGCCCAACGCGACGTTGTGGAGATCGTTTCTTGGATCAGCTCAAACACACGGTGACTTGGAAAGAGGTGAAACTGCACTAAAGCATTTGTTAGGGTTAGAATTCGATAAAAGCGGAAATTTCGTGCTTTTATCGAATATTTACGCCGGAGTTGACCGTTGGTCTGACGTCGAGAAGACCCGGGAACTTATGAAAGACCATCGTCTCAATAAATCTCCAGGGATTAGTACTATCAATTGACCAATGGGTGTGTTCAGAACTCAAAAGACCAAGACAAAGAACAACTTGTTTTGTTTAAGAACATGTTAATCCTCCAATAACTCGATACGTGTATACCAAAAACTATTACAAGAATTGTTATAATAATGTAGCTGAGACAAAATATCTCATTTCACAACAAATCTTGTCTCTCTACATAGAATATACAAAACAAAACAAAACCACAGTTGTTAGATTGTTGTCCTTTACCATAGATTAATCAAAATAATTGAATTAGGTGGTAATTGACACATCAATTAGAACGGTATGTCTATTCATTATCCACTAATAGACAATTTAATAATGAATATGTATACTCTTCTTAACAATAACAATTCCACTAATTGTGTCTTAATTACAAACAAAAAAAAGATTTGATTAATCAATAATGTTCTCTTAAGATTAAGAGAGCCAAAAACAAAACTAATCTGCCTTCAATGGCTTCTTCAGCAGCAGCCATCGTCTTCTCCAACTCACCTTTTCGTTGTTCACAAATCCATACCCATCACCATGTTTCACGTTATGCTCCTGTATCTTCCTCCGTCGTTTCTTTCAACCGCCGTCGAGGTTCTCGCCGTTCTCTTGCCGTGAACTCGGCGCTTATAGAGCCGGACGGGGGAAAACTCATGGACCTTGTGGTCCAAGAACCGCGGCGGCGCGCGATGAAACGCGAGGCTGAGACGGTTCCTGTAAAGATCAAGCTGAGCCGTGTGGATCTTGAGTGGGTACATGTGCTAAGCGAAGGCTGGGCAAGTCCTCTCAAAGGTTTCATGAGACAGTCAGAGTTCCTCCAAACACTTCATTTTAACTCGATCCGACTTGAAGACGGTTCTGTCGTCAACATGTCGGTTCCGATCGTCCTCGCTATCGACGACGATCAGAAGTTTCGCATCGGCGATTCCAACCGTGTCACGCTCGTTGACTCGGTTGGTAAGCCGATCGCGATACTCACCGAGTAAGTCTAAATCATTTGGATATCATGAATCTTGAACTGTCAGCAAATACAAATCTTGAAATGTATTGTGTAAGAGACAAAACTGATAATTATAGTGTTTGATTTGAGTCAGTATTGAGATTTACAAGCATCCAAAGGAAGAGAGAATTGCGAGGACATGGGGAACCACGGCTCGTGGACTTCCTTATGCAGAAGAAGCAATCACCAAAGCTGGAAACTGGTTGATCGGAGGTGATTTAACAGTTCTTGAACCGATCAAGTACAACGACGGTTTAGACAGGTTTCGGCTATCGCCATCTCAGCTGCGGGAGGAGTTTACAAGGCGCGGTGCTGACGCGGTTTTCGCGTTCCAGCTAAGGAACCCGGTGCATAACGGTCATGCTCTTCTTATGACTGATACTCGTAGAAGGCTTCTTGAGATGGGTTACAAAAACCCTGTCTTGTTGCTTAATCCACTTGGTGGATTCACTAAGGCTGATGATGTACCTCTCAGCTGGCGTATGAGGCAACACGAGAAGGTATTGTAAAACCCTAATTGTCGCTTCCTTCTGTTCCAAGAAACTCTATTTGAATACATAGTGGTTCATCTACCTTATGAAACAGAGCAATTATAGCTTCTTCTATGTCAATATATTCAGATTTGTTTATATATTTTGGTGGAGTGAAAATGTTATATTCTTGTTTCTTGATTTGAACGTGTAGGTGCTGGAAGATGGTGTTCTTGATCCAGAGACGACTGTAGTATCCATCTTCCCATCTCCAATGCACTATGCTGGACCAACTGAGGTACAGTGGCACGCCAAAGCTAGGATCAATGCTGGAGCAAACTTCTACATTGTTGGTCGTGATCCAGCTGGTATGAGTCATCCGATGGAGAAGAGGGATCTATATGATGCTGATCACGGGAAGAAAGTTCTCAGCATGGCTCCAGGACTTGAACGCCTCAACATTCTTCCCTTTAAGGTTAAGATCACTCGTTGCTACTTCTCTCTAACTCTGAAATATTCCAAAGTCTGATGTGTTTTTGTACATAGGTTGCTGCATATGATACAACTCAGGGAAAGATGGCTTTCTTTGATCCTTCTAGGTCTCAAGACTTCCTCTTTATATCAGGAACCAAGGTAAAACTCAAATCCAGAGCTCCAAATCTGAATTTTGACTTATAAAAACTTGGATCTAATGGTTTCGTTTTGTAGATGCGTGGCTTGGCGAAGAAGAAAGAGAACCCACCAGAGGGTTTCATGTGTCCCTCTGGTTGGAAAGTGTTGGTTGATTACTACGACAGTCTCAACGCAGAAGCTGGTAATGGTAGGGTTTCTGAAGCTGTCGTCTCTGCTTAAATGTAAAAGATTACGTGCCCCACAAGTTTTCACGTTTCCTGATTGTTAGTAACCAAGCTTTGTAACAAACAAAAATTGCTTCCAATAAAACCAATGTAAACATCTCTGTGTGTGTTCTTTGCGTCTCTGTTGTCAACTTTTGTCATCAAGTCGCATTGATTTGTACAATATTTGCTTATTGTGTTATAAATGAAAAAACATATTGTGTATTGTGTTTAACATAAACTGTAAACTTAAAAACTAATTGAGACAGAAACAGAGAAGAGTGGTCATGCTACATTAACACGATGGTTGGTCCTAGAGGCGGTGGCAGGTCGATTCCCGGCGGTTGAATCTCCGGTGGGCGAGGCGGTTCCCAATTTGGAGGCACCACATCCGGTGGTGTTTCTGGCGTCGGAGGATTTGGAGTATCTGGCATCGGTGGAGATGGAGACGGTGGAACCGGAAACTCAGGGCCAGGAGTCTGCGGCGGTCCAAGCGGTGGTGGATCACTTGGAACGGTCGTAACTTCAGGAGGAGTTTCGGACGGGTTTATCTCCGGTATATTAGGAAGCTCCGGGACTTCTGATGGTACCAACTCTGGTCCTTTACTTGGCCGTGAAGGTAACTCTTCTTCCGAAGGAGATCCACCGGGAAACTGAATCTCCGGTGGACCGGTTTGGCTAACGAAATAGACTCCGGTACTAGAGTTGGTTAACCCTCTAACCGGTTTAGAAGAACACGAAACCGACTTCGCCGCGGTCATGAACCGTGTTGACCATGGCTTAGACTTGGATGAACGTAAAATGAAACTGCCTCTCATAAGATTTGCTGAGACCAAAGACATAACTTTTGTCTCTCTTTAGTTCTTGCATATAGAGATACAATTTAAACAGGTTAATCAAGAACATTGATACGTGGCACCAAGACACAACTACGTGTCACTGTGTCTTAACACTTTCAAACACACGTGGCAAATTACTACTATCACATGAATTTTTAATTTTTTTTTTTTTAACCATACGTTAAATCAAATTACACATGACGAATTATAGATAATAAAAAAATATCACATTACATAAGTTACATTACAAATAAACCATAACAAATTAGTTTTCTCCAAAAGAATTTAAAAAAATTTGCACTACGACGATGTAACGGGAGTGATCCTAGGAACTTGAACGGGGAAGTCATCGATCTCATCGATCCATGGATTCGTCTTCTCGTCCATTGGATCAATCGTTTTCAAAGCTTTCCAAACAGCACTGTTACACTTAAAGCCTGATCCGAAAGCAATCTGCCAAGTCCTATCTCCTCTCTTAATCCTTCCTTTAGCTTCACTATACGCAAGCTCATACCAAAGAGAGCTACTCGAAGTGTTACCAAACCTGTTTAACGTCATCCTCGATGGCTCCATGTGCCATTCAGATAAATCCAAGTTCTTCTCAATCTCATCAAGCACAGCTCTACCTCCAGCGTGAATACAGAAATGCTCAAAAGCTAGCTTGAAGTCAGGAATGTAAGGCTTTATTTTCTTGACTTTAAAGACTTTACGGGCCACTAGTGTCGCGAAAAAGAGAAGTTGTTCGGACATTGGTAGGACTAATGGTCCGAGAGTTGTGATGTTTGTCTTGAGAGCTTCTCCAGCTATTGCCATTAGGTTTTTAGAGAGCGAGACTCCGACTTTGCCTGTTTCTTCCTCGTTGTTGTCTTCTCGTTGGTAAACACAGCCGAACGCATTGTCGTCAGCTCCTTTGTGTGTACGAACGGTGTGGATGAGCTGATACTTCGAACGGCTACGATCAGATGAACGGTTCGAGAGAAGTACTGCAGCTCCACCCATACGGAAGATACAGTTAGATAGAAGCATTGATCGGTCGTTGCCTAAGTACCAATTTTGAGTTATGTTCTCTGTGCTCACTACTAGTGCGTATGAGTTTGGTTGCACCTGCATTATCACCACAAATTTATTACTCTCATACTCAAACAAAACTTTAGGTTATAAATTAGTAAGAAAAATGCTATGATTGTGACAAGACAACCTTATACGGTGAACATTAAACACAAATCTATAAATGCAAACGTGTGTGTGTGTGCATATGTCTCATGTGTATAGAGTAATGCAAGTGGTCACAACACAACACTATTGTTTAGCTCATTCAAGACCTTTGGTTCAATTTGCCAACCAGTTGAAGTAACTCGCAAGCACATGCAACCACGTTCGCATCATCTTTAGATCTACTACTACCAATTTAAATATGTTTTTGTAATAACTTGATTTTAATTATGCAACAATCCTAAAAAAATCCTAATGCATGCACTAAAATGAAATAAAACTTATACTATATTATAAAACGTTGGACATTTAACACAACATAGTGGATGGTTCATCTATTTTCACAACTACCACCAACCTAAAGACTCAAAAATGCCTGTTAGTGTCAGAATTTTCATAGACACGTGACTTTTTTACACTTAGACTTTTTGACATTTATGCTTCCCAATACAACTTTATAACATTACATATTTCAAAAATAAGTCGGCAACCAAAAAACCAAACCAGTGATATAAATTTTTAATTAAATCACTCTCACTAATTACTATAAAGCACGTAACAATATCATTAATGACATGAAAACGAAGTCAAATCCAAAAATCAATCTACCTGTTAAAGTGTATTAAAACACACAAAATTATAGCTGGTAATTGTACTAATTAAATTCTTCCTAATTATTTCTAACAAAAATAATGAGCTGTACTCATTAGCCTTTTCAACTTCTTTTTCAAAAAATAAGAAAAAGTCATCATCGTAGATTTTGATTCTTCCATAGATCACGACGACTCATAACAGCCAAAAGAAAAATCAAAACTGAATAATAATAAAAAAACAATCGAATTAAGTATCAAAGAATAATAATATAATTTACCTGGAGCATCTGTTTAGCGAGATCAATGGAGATAAGTCCAGCACTACAACCCATTCCACCAAGATTATAGCTCAAAATGTTGCCTCTGAGCTTATACTTATTCACAATCATAGCAGAAAGTGATGGAGTAGGATTAAACAAACTACAGTTCACGACAAGTATCCCAATGTCTTTAGGTTTCACACCAGTTTTTTCAAGAACCGCATCGATAGCTCCGAACATAACTGTCTCTGCCTCTTTCCTAGCTTCTTCCATGCAAGGGTTAGGAGGGACACGAAGAAGAGCTTCAGGGAAGTATGTCTTCTGACCTAGACCGGATCTTTCGAGGATCTTTTGTTGGAAAGCGAGGTTGTCTTCTGTGAAGATACCTACACGTTGAGATCTGTCCATGAACGTTTCACGGGTGCAGATCAAAGAAGGGTCAGGTTTGTAGCATGAGAAGTCGAGGAGGAAGACACGGCGAGGACGTGTGGTGAAGTAGGCGGTGGAGAGAGAGATCAAGAGCGCGGTGGCGAGTGTGGCGGAGAGGAAATGGAAACGGAGAGTGTTGTAGAGGAGAGAGAGGTCGTTTAAGGTGAAAGAAGAGATGTTAGCGAGTGTAGCGGCGAGGAGAGGGAGGAGGAGGATGTAAAGAGCGTTGGAGATTAGGTAATGGTATCCGAGTTTTACGTACTTGAGACGAACGGATAAGAGGAAGTTTGGGAGGTTGTTTGGGTTAGGGTTTGGCTCGGAGGTTGTGACATGGACCGGGACTGGCCGGTGAGGTTGGTTTTGGTTATGGCTCATTGTGAGTATACGTATGAGAAGAGAAGTGTAAAAGATTTGTTTGAGAGAAGAAGGTTTTAGTGAGAGAGAGAGAGATGGGAGAAGAGAATGGCCTAAAAAGTTGGAGGGACTTTGAGAATTTAATGGGAAAATTTTGAGAGAGGACTTGGCTATTAAATGTGGTTAGGGAAAATGGGAAATATTTAAGGAAAAAAATATTGTTTTTTTAGAAATATACAAAAAGAATATAATTCCAGCACATTATTTTTGTTCAAAGTTCAAACACAGTTTTAATTTTTTGTCCAAACTAGTTAATGCTATTATAGACACATATTCTTTACATATACAATAATATTTTTTTAAAGATAGTAGTACTAATTGAATAAAATTATTATTTTTAGAATCATAATATTTTATTAATTTATCAAATTATTAACTTATCTATGTTAACTAAAATATACGACCAGAAAAATATGGAGAAATACTCATGGATACCACATTTTAAATTCTTTTTCTAAAAACATAATTTATTTTTTTCCAATAAACACCATAAATTTGTATTTTTCAAAAATACAATTTTTTTTTCCAAAATACCATAAACATGTAATGTTGAAAATGTAATTTTTTTTATTATGTTTTGGATTGACTATTTATATTTAGGGTATAGTTTTTAAGTGTGTGCTTTATTGTTTAGGATTTAGTATTTCTGGAAAAAAAAAATTTAAAGTGATGTGGTATTTCTGAAAAAAATATATTTTAGTGTTAGTTTTGGAAAATAACTTTATAGTAGTATTTTTAAAATATATATCAATTTTATTGGTATTTAAGAAAATTTCCCAAAAATATTATTTAAAATTAGAAATATGAAATTACTCATACATATTATGTGCCACACGAATGGTCATCTAAAAATTACAAATGTGAGTCACATTATGTGACCACATAAAATCTCAATCTCTACCTACATATTGAAAAACGCTTTGTACACGATTTTACATAATTTAACATCAAAAAGAAAATGTTTTAAATCATTTTTTAAAAACTAAAACTAAGAAAACTGGATAAAATAAAGATATACAAATATATGTAGTAGTAGAGAGGGAAGATGCAACTACCACCAACGAAGGCTATTTAATGTTTTAGGACAGTTGAGAGATTTGAGATGACACCTAAGAGAGACGGCGATGACTTTTTATTTTCTTCCAATTGGTAGCTTTCAATTCCAGACACGTACTTGTGAATTTACTCTTTTGCCCTTGGTTTGACTTGTTATTTTCGAAACTACCCTCATCATGTGAACAAATTGAATGAGGAGGACAAGTTGATGTTTGTGGAGGACTCACTTTTTTATGTGTCCGTGTGAAGGATCAGTGTGAAGGATCAGTGTGAAGAGTGTGAACTTGTTTTTGTGTAATGAAGAATTGGTTAATTAGTCATATGTCATTATGTAAATTTTAGATTAGATTGGAAGATTAAGTGAACCGAAATAGAAGTTTGTTGAACTAATAAATATGATGAAATGTTTGGGTCATTTCATTGTCACCCCTAAACATATAATTGTGTGTGAATTGTATGTTGTGTTTTTCTTGGTTTTCTATGTATGTGTTTATCTTAGTATAATTGAGATTTTGATTTAAGACATGTAGGTATTTATATTCAACTCTAATGTATGAATATTTTGACCACCGGATTATATATATTTTAACCCTTCGTCGTATCTCATTTATTTTCTTATTATTTTTTTTTTTTTTTTTTTGTCATCCGTATCTCATTTATTTATGTAAGTAATATAACTTCTATTTTAGGTTTTAGAAAATTGGATTAAGAGCGACATCAACCCATCTTTTTGTTTTGAAGTATCGACTAAGGATATTTTGAAAAAACATTGATAAAAATATCAATTTTAAGTTAAATGGTTAAATTGTTATGTGGGAATTTGCAAATTATACTCTTCATATTCGTAAGCACTCTAACCAAGTGGTTTTGGTATAGTAGTTTTTACTTGAGTGAGGAGTTGCCATGTTGGTCTAGGCCAGAGATCGATTACCCTCAAGCGCGAAATCACTAAATAGTTTTATTTGCCTGGCTTTCACCCGGTCTTCTCCGGACCCTAAAGAAATTACGGTCTAAGGTTCGAATCTCATGGTAATTAAAA